GGGGGGATGAACACAAGACAAAGGATCGCAGTTTTCATGGCAGAGGCTAGCAGCGACCATCCCTTCATAGTGTTCGGAGCAGAGGCTATGTCGTGCACATGCTAACCAAACTGTACCTGTGCGACGACGCAATGGGAAGAGGGCACAGACTCCATCCCCTGGAGAGGTCCCTTCACTGTTCGTGGTAGAATCTGTCCGATCCTCACAGGGAGAGGATGCTGCCTGACCATGCACAGGGGAAGGAGGAGGTTCAGCCGAATTGCTCTCCGGAGGCAGTAGTGCTTGCGAGTGCTCATTGACATACTGTTCCTGATGGATGAGTCAGACCGAGTGATGTTCTACCGCTTGGTGATAGAAGAGTTGATATTTCCCGCTACATGCACCCTACCACCATTGTCCCATAGGATCCATCATCCATGAGTTATCCCCAAAGGTAAGAGCACTGAAATGACCTGGACAACGTATGGTGTATGCCCGAATATTTGGATCCATGCCTGGCACGTGATTTTGCGAGGCAGGCTGGAGTTGCGGTCACCTATCCATAAATGCCATAGACAGGAGTTCTATGTTCACACCAGGTGCAGTACTGTTGTCCTCCGGGCAGACGGCACGGTGCTCTTCTTCTATCCAAGTGGACAACGTCTGCAAAATCAGAAACAGTGTTGCAATTGTAGGCAAGGAGAGACACATTAATGGCATAGAATGCACAGCGACCTCGCTGTAGCACTATGACATCCTCCGATTCTGCAGGTTGTGCGGCAGAAGGAGCTTCATCCAATTCTGCAGGTTGCACGGCAAGCGGAGATTCATTGCGGTCTTGACCATTTCTGGCAGGTTTCTCCGGCTGCATTAAGTCCATTGGATCCGGTATGCGCTCCGAAGAAAGATCATCTCAAGTCGGAGGCTCCATCAAGTGATCAGAAGATGGATCATTATCATTTGAGGCGGGGGAGCATGCACGGTCAGGTGGATGAGGAATAGAGGGTCAGATGCAGGAAGCGGAGGTTGATCAGTCGTACTTGTGCTCAAAGTGGCTGCTAGCCGTGCAAATGCTGCGCAGGTAGCTGCACCTCGTGTGTGTGTGTGTGTGTGTGTGTTGTTTAAAAGACCCCAGATTCTCTCGCTCATTTCCTTCACAAATCATCACAAGCCATCCATAACGAGAAAGCATAGATAGGCAATATAATAGAAAATGCAAGGTTGGCCACATTTGTGTGGTTCAGCGCCAAGTGCCCACACACCCGTCTGCCACCAAAGCGGCACACTTGCACATATTCATATGTATACATATATACTTCAAACCATAAGGGGATGGAGGGCAGAATCCAACTACTCCAGGAAAGAAGGCACCAACCCGACCCCTCAAAGGTCCGAAAAAAGTTGGAGAGCCTTCCACATCGGCCCACAAAACCAAATACTCATTTATCAAAAACAAACAAATATAACAGCATTGGCATTCCCGACATTCACCTCAAACTACACACTCGTGTCACTGCCAAAGAGGAGGAAGAAGATAAGAGACAACTGGCATAAGACAGAAGACTACTCCAGCAAGAACGCACCGACCCCCCTTGCTAAGGGTCCAAAAAAACTGGGAAAGCCTTCCACGCTGACCCACAAAACATACATTCCCCTTAAAGAGAACTCGTGGCCACCCGTAAACATCCAAACAGCCCGTGCTCTAAAGAAGGGCAAAGAATTAGGCTGCGTATCATCAACAAAACCAACAAGACATATCCAACCACAAAAAGTGAGAATAGCTCGCTAGTACGAGCCCGGTCCTAGCCGCTCGAATCTGCCAAGAGAGAGCGCTAGCAAGACCGGAATGCGTGTTGTTGTGTGTGTTGTGTGTGTTGTGTGTGTTGTGTGTGTTGTGTGTGTTGTGTGTTGTGTGTGGTGTGTGTGGTGTGTGTGGTGTTGTGTGTGTTGTGTGTGTTGTGTGTGTTGTGTGTGTTGTGTGTGCAGTGTGTGTTGTGTGTGCAGTGTGTGTTGTGTGTGTTGTGTGTGTTGTGTGTGTTGTGTGTTGTGTGTGTTGTGTGTGCTGTGTGTGTGTTGTGTGTGTTGTGTGTGTTGTGTGTGTTGTGTGTGTGTGTTGTTTTAAAAGACCCCAGACTCTCTCTCCCATTCCACAAATCATCACAAGCCATCCATAATGAAAAAGTATAGATAGGCAATATATTAGAAAATGCAAGGTTGGCCACGTTTGTGCAGTTGTGTGTGTGTGTGTGTGTGTG